GCACAACTGGGTTTTCTCCTGTTCTTTGTATCCCCAGTGCTTAGCCCAGTGCATTAGGGTACTGGAGTATCTTGACTGGATAGACTGATTTTCAAAGAATGGTGCATTGACCGTCTAACGCAGTTTGCTTTTGTTCTTAGCATACCTAAGATGTGTATTTACTTTGTGGGGACCGAGTATGGTCTCATGGAGGTGGCTCTTGAGCTGAATCTTACAGGAAGCCAGATAAGAAAATAAGTCAGCGGTTAAGTGACTTGCTCAGGGTCACATAGCTAGAAACTGTCTGAGGCCCATTTGAACTCAGGTCTTCCTAACTCCAGGCCTGATACTGTATCCACTGTACCACCTAGCTAAACATTTATTGAAAGGTCTCCTGAAATATAGGTAAATTATATCCATAGCATTCCAGTTATCTACTATGTTAGTAATCCTGACAGAAAAAAACAAATGAGGTGAGTATGCTAGTACTTGACTTGCTTGTGAACTGGATTTAAGTGTGGTAGAGCTGAGCCAAGTTGGCAGCTTCATTCTCTCTTCCAGAGTCATTGAAGTCCAGTGGCAAGACAAGAGTCAGTGATTACAGAGAGATAGTATGGCTTCACCAAGAACATCACCCTGACGATGTCATTGGTCCTCTTTGAGAATGGAGGACAAACAGCACTAGCTGCTTCTTTTTAGATCTCTGTTTCTTTTTCCAATTCAATAAATAATCATCCAGCACCTGCTGTGTGCAAGGCACCAATGACGAATTTGTCACAAAGGTAATAATAACACGTGATGATTATTGAATCATCTTTTCTAAATGTTTGTCAGTCATCTCTTTAATTATATTTTCAATAACTTTCCTGGGAATCAAAATCCCACCAACTGACCTACATAGTTTGCAGCCTCTGTTGTCTTTTTTTTTTAATCCAGACTTTTGTCCCTCTCCAATCTTGTGATACCTCTCCTATTTTCCATAAAGGTCTTTCAGATATCATTGATAGAGGCTCAACATTCACATCTGCCAGTACTTTCAGATTATCTGGGGCAAGTGACTGAACTTCATCTAAGATAGCTAAGTGCTCACTCAGACTCTCCTTATATATTTTGGGTATCAACTCTGTGTTAGTCAGTTTTGTTCTGTCCTTTTTAGTATAGAGATCATTCTCCTCTGCAGAGAGAAATGAAGCAATAAAATAAGATTTGAGCACTTCTGTCTTCTCTCTATCATCAGTTATCTCATCCACCCCAAGCAAAGTTATTATCTCGTCTTCATTTCTCCTTTTTCTCTCAAGGTAGGGTTAAAAAGAGAGAGACACTTTGTTGTCCTGAGATTTCCTTGCCAGCCTCAAATTCTAAGTTTTAGTATTCCTAAAAGTTTTATTTTCTTTTGAAAGTGCAAGCTTAACTATTTCTAAAATGTTTGAATTCATTTTTCTTTTGAGTTCCAAATTCTCTCCCCACCCCCACTGAGAAGGCAAGAAAAATAAACCCATTACAAATACATATTGACATGCAAAACAGTTTTCTGCATTAGGTATGTTCCAAGGAGGGGAAAAGTGAGAAAAAGAAAAACAGAATAAAATGTTTCATTGTGTCCTCTGAGTCTGTCAGCTCTCTTTCTAAAGGTTGATAACATGAGTCCTTTGGAATTGTAATTGGTCATTATGTTGATCAGAGTTACTAAGTTTCACACTTGATTATCCTTACAATATTGCTGTTACTGTGTACATTGTTCTTCTGGTTCTGCTCACCTCACTTTGCATCAGTTCACATAAGTCTTCTCAGGTTTTGGTGAAACCATCCCCTTCATCATTTCTTACAAGAGAACGGTATTCCATCACATTCATGTACTGTAATTTGTTCAGCCACTCACCAACTGGTGAATTCATATTCTTCACCACCACAAAAAAGAACTGCTATAAGTAGTTTTGTACATATGTGTCCTCTCTTTTATTTCTTTGGGGTATGGAGCTAGTAGCAGTAACACTGGGTCAAAGGGTATATTCAATTTAATAGCTTTGGGGTCGTAGTTCCAAATTGTTCCTTAGAATTGTCATTAGTATTTCAGAGCATTTTTAATATGCCTATTGGTAGCTTTGATTTCTTCTTCTAAAAGTTGCCTATTCATTTCCTTTGACTTTTTATCATTTGGGAAATGACTCTTATGCTCATGAATTTCACTCAGTTCCCTATATATTTTAGAAATGAGCCCTTTATCAGAGCAAATATGCAAATATTTCTTTCCTGGTTCCCTGTTTTTCTTCTAATTTTAGCTGCATTGGTTTTGTTTGTGTAAAAAAATTTCAATTTAATATCATCAAAATTATCCATTTTACTTCCTGTAAACCTCTGTCTCTTGTTTGGAATGAATTCTTCCCCTCTCCATAGATCTGCCAGGTAATTTTTTCCATGTGCCACTAATTTGCTTATGATATCACCCTTGATGTCTGAATCATGTGCCCATTTTGAGCTTATCATATTATATACAATGTGAGAGGTTGGCCTGTGCCTCGTTTCTGCCAGACTACTTTCCAGGTTTCACAGTAATTTTTGTCAGATATTGAGCTCTTGCTCTACTAGCTGGCACTTGGGATTTATCAGGCACTAGGTTACTATGCTCATTTGTTTCTCGGTGTTGTATACATAATGTGTTCCACTGATCAACCTATCTATTCCTTACCAAGTACCAAATAGTTTTGATAATTATGGCTTTGTAGCATGGTTTGAGATTTGATACTACTAGTCCTACTTCCTTCCATTTTTTTATTGATTCCCTTGATATCCTTAACCTTTTGTTCCCTAGATGAATTTTGTTATGATTTTGTCAGCCTTATAAAGTAATTCTTTAGTAGTTTGAGTCTTATGGCACTGAATAAATGAGTTAATTTAGGTAGTATTGTCCTTCTTGTTAAATTGATTGAGGTTACTCATGAGCAATTAATATTTCTCTAGTTATTTAAATGTCCTGATCTGTGTGAAGTGTTTTGTAATTGTGTTTATGTAGTTCCTGTGGCAGGTAGACTCACAAGTTTTTTTCTGGCATTCATAGTTATTTTATTTTATTGTATTTGTTAGCCAAAGACAAGGTTTATTAGAACATCCGTCATTCCATCATATTGGTCAGACTCTTAAGGAGTCTGAACATTAGTGAGCAAGTGGCTAGATTCTAAGAATCTGAGCCCATAGTTATTTTAAATGGAATTTCTGTTGGTTTTGTTTGGTTTTGTTGTTGGTCTAACATGGTTTTTACAAGGCTGTGCCATCATCCTCCATAAGGCAGTTGCCTTTGTTCCCATGTACTGAACATTTCTTTTTAAAACTTCAGTTTGTTGGTGAGTCCCTGTGCATATATCATGCTCTTTACATTGTAAGGTCCTTCAGGACAGGTACTGTCTTTTGCCTCTTTTTGTATAGCTAGTGCTTTTATCACAGTGCCTGGCACATCGTACGTGCTTAATAAATTTTTATTGAATTGAATTTTTTCAGATTAAATTGCAATTTAGAATCATTTCTGTTTGGGTTATGAGAATTTCATTCTTGAATATCTCCTTGCTGTCCTGAGCTAACATACTCTGAAGCATTTTACTCCATGGGATCTTAACTTTGTTTCCTCTGAACTCTTTCAAATCTGACTTTCCAATTTAGGGTACATAATACATACTGTCCAGATTTCCTCTCCTCTGTCACAAACTCTCATAGGAAGTGGTCACTTCTACCTGGGGTCCCATCATTGCTACCTCAGCATCCAGTTTTTCCTGGTAGTCAGGATCAGAATAGAAATTCTCCTTCTTGGTTCCTCCACCTTTTGAAGGATGAAATTGTTATGAAGGTAGAAAGGTATTCTTAGCTTCTTTGCTTGATAATTGAAGTCCCCCATCACGAATATATCATGCCCCTATGCCAGGCTTATAATATTTCCCAAGCTCCTCATCTGACTCTTCTTTCTGTCCAGGTGGTCTCTAATACTTTCATAATTAAAGGTTTTATGTATTTTCAATGGTTAGCCACCTCATAATTTGTATGATGTTATGAAAACTGTTTCTCAGAGGTCATTATGATCAGCTTAAGTAATTCCTATTTAGGTATGTTTCATAAGCTTTATGTGTAATGTTGCTAAAATGAAAGATCTTCATTGATTTTTGTGTAATTGCCTGGTAGAATAAATCATGCAGCTTTGAGCCATTGTCAATGACATTTTTTTTCCGTGACTGTTTGACAGGAACCAAGTGTTTCATATTTATGTATTATGGCTTGTCACATTTCAGAGAAGCAAGAAAGAAGCCTGGTAGCTTGTGGTTTTTTGCCTGTATCCTTTATAGTTTTTTTTCAATCACAAATTTAAAAAAAGTCTATAACATTGTTTTCCCTAATAGTATTTAACTTCTTTAGGAATTGTTCCATTTGTTGGTAGAAGTGATGAGGGTATAATTGTGCCTCCTTCTAGGGACTCTTGAAGCAACCATTTAATTGTGGTTTTCATTGTTAACACTGATGAGTTTCTGTTTAATAAGAATGAATTATTGGGAAATGGCCATAGCTAATCTGCTTTAACATAGCCCTTTCTAACTGTGGCACTAGCAATGGGTTCTGAATTGAAAACAGTTCCTGCTAGAGGTAAAAGGTTGCATAATAGGGCATTGGGAAGAAGGACAGCTATGAAAACAATAATTTGTTTTTGCAGGTTTGGGGGGATTGGAAGAATTTGTGAAATAATAATACTTTCTGGTTTCATTACGTTTTTGACAAGGATATTGAAAATCGTCTGTATCCTTTAAACAGGCATTTTCCAGTATCTGTTTAAGAGAGATATTCTTTAAATAACCAATACCTGGGAGGAGAGAAAAGAAAGGGGAAGATGAAATTTTGGTTTTTTGTCTCAGAGGAATACTTTATACCTAACACTATTTCATTTTTTTCTCAACCCCATGCAATATATCCCTTCTTAATGATTTCTGGATAAGGACACATAGTGACATATTTTCAGAATTCTCCTAATCAATGTTTTTGGTTTTCAGCGTATTAGAATGAATGATTACACTGGTATTGACTTTATGAAGCCTTGGCAGCTGTCTGAAGTGCTTGATGGTGGAGGTGTTGGAATTGTAGAAGAGAGTCAACATACAAATTGGGCTAAAGGCGATTTTGTGACTTCTTTTAACTGGCCCTGGCAGACTAAGGCTATTTTAGAGGGAAACACCCTTGAAAAGGTAATCTCTATTAAACAGTGCATATATATTTCCTATAATTCTCAATTCATTTTTTCCTTGGCATTTGATTCTGCTTAATATCAAAAAAGTAATAAAATCATCCAGTTTCTTCTACCTACTGACTCATTAAATGTATCAAAATCTATACCAACACTTAATTGGTTATATGGTCTTCCTTCCTTTTTATTACCTGAAAATTTTTATAAAGAATAAGTTATATAAAACTCAACTATGTTTTCATTGAAAGTCTGGTTAATGACTTTCATTTACTGTCTAAGTCACAGGTGAAACAATTATGCTTAAAACTGAAGTCAAGGGACTTTTGTCACTTCATAGTAACAACTAGGGGCTTTATGGTGGTATGATTTGAAGGTTTAGTGAGAAATTCTCATCTCCTCCTAACTTCCCACTCACAACTTGGCCTGCCTTAGGACTTCAAACTTTCATCATTAGTTAAAAGTACCTGTTAAAATGGATGTATGTGTTGTTACTACCACCTGCAAGCAGTAATGTGGCACATCTCAACCAGAATTTTTCCTAACAGAAGTTGGAGATTTCTAAAGGACTAATTTAGAAGACAGATAAGTTTTGAAAGGAGAATACAGGAAAAATGGTCAACAACTTGGCTTGCTGCTGACTGAAATTCTATTACAGCTGAGAACTAAGCAGCTGGAAGGCAGCAGGGGACAATGAATACTTGGAGGAAAGAAAGGTGTTTAAGGGGCAGTAGGATGCAGAAAGAACAACGAGGAAGTCCTGAAATCATACTTCACAGTTTGGCCTAATGCCAACTCTGTTGAAAGCCACTAACAATCTCCATTACCTGCCTTACAGGGTTATAAGGAAATTGCTTTCCAAGTGTTATGATACCAATGTGGGGAATTATTATTATTTCATTATGGCGATTGATTTACAAATCAGATCTTAGTTGGAAGAAACCTTGGAGGTTATAGAGTAATAGCCCTTCTTTCTATAGATCAGGAAACTGAAAGAAAGGAACACTGGGTTACTTTCCCAACATCACGTAGCTAATTAGTGGAAGGGCTCTGTAGTAAAGCAGAGAAATAAACAAACAAAAGAAAATCTTGAGCACCTAAAGCAGAGACCATGACTTTTTATATTCATGGCATTTTTTTGTTGATGAAAGAATTATCATAGTTTCCCTTCTTTTCCATATCTTTTCAACATTGGTCCTCTGGAATTATGATTGGTCGTTGCATTGATTAGAATTTTTAAGTGCTCCAAAAACTTTTTTTTCAATATTGTTATAGTTTAAATATTATCCCAGTTCTGCTCCCGTCCCTCTGCATAAGTTCAAGTAGTCCCAAATTTCTGTGAAATTCTTTCTTTCATTATTTCTTATAGCACAATAATATTCCATTATATTAATATGTTGTAATTGGTTCATCCATTCAAATGATGGGCATCCCTATAGATTCCATTTCTCTGCCACTACAAAAAGTGCTACTATAAATATTTTTATGCATATAGGACCTTTTCCTTTTTCTTTGATTTCTACACCACTAGTAGTGATATAGCTAAGTTAAAGGGAATGTACAGTTTAATAACTCTTTGGGGATTGTTCCCAATTACATGCAAAATGGCTGTTATCATTTGTTCTACCAATAGCATGTCAGTGTCCCTAGTTTCCCACAGTCACAACGTTTGACATTTTGAAGGTTGAACTTTGGCTTGAGGCTTTGATCAGAGATTCTGTATTCTAATGCTGCCATTTTTTTGGATAGCATGTATTAGTATTTCAATGAAGAAAACTGCCTCTTCCAAGGCCAATTGGCAACTGTTTGGCAGCTGAGTATGAGAGTCATTTGTGGTCACTGAGAGATTATGTGACTTGTACCCACAGTCACACAGCCCATTGTGACAGGCATGCTTTGCCATACCGCTTTTGGTCCAGCCTTATACTTTAGTTCCCTTAGAGTATAGATACTTTAACATAACAGAAATTATACAGGGTTAATTTGCACCAATGTTTCCTGTTTTAACTCTAATAGAAATCCATAGTGTGATATTAAAATATGTGCATATTTTATTTTAGATAGACCCACAACTTGCAGATGGACACCTTTCTTACTTTCTTGGTGCTATTGGTATGCCAGGTTTGACTTCTTTGTTTGCAATTAAAGAAAGAGGTCACATAACTATTGGTTCCAACAAGACATTGGTTGTCAGTGGAGCTGCAGGTGCTTGTGGATCATTGGCTGGCCAGGTAAACTCTGCTCATGATTACTTACTTTTTTTAAAAAAGAAACATCTATAACTGAAGTCTCAATGTAAAACTAGACAGGCAGAAGTGTAAGATTGAGAAGCACAGGTAATGTTTTGCCTAAATAGTTCTGATAGACAGGTTGTGTTTAACTAGTCAAGTATGTTAAAGGTGGTCTTAAAAATAAACATGCTGTGATTTGGCAATTTATTTGGGGTGTAGTTCTCCATTTATGAGAAATTTAGATAAAACAGAATTAGGTTTAAATGAGCGAATGCTATGATGGAAACAATCAGAAAAAACCACCTCTCTGAGATTTCATATTCTAATGAGTAAATCTGCTAAAACCATATTTTCTCTGGTTTTTAAAAATTCTGAATAAATGATAAATCATTGGACGCAAAAATATAGAATTTAGTACAGATATGCTCAGTTTAATGTTACTCTAAGTAATGTCATTTTAGAAGAACATCTTAATACATTATAACCAAATAACACTACAACATTGTGAAACTGTTACATCATAATTTGGTATAAATCAAATAACTGGTGACAATGTGAATTCACGTTTACTTCCCCTTGGCCATAACTTTTGAACATCATTTGGGTTATTGATAGGGCCATTAGCATTATTTGTATGGAACTACCTGCTCCCTGGTTGTTTTACCTGCTATATTTTTTTCAGAACCAATGACTGGCCTTTAGAGTAAGCTTTTAAACATTTTCGTAGCATGTCTATATATATATATATATATATATATATATATATATATATACATATATATATATATACATATATATATGTATATATATATATATGTTTTATACAGATTAAATGTAATAAACATATTCATAATGAGAACTTACAGAGTGCAGTTTTTTCTGAATACTTTTTTGGAATCTCTCAGGCTCAGAAATTTAGGTTCACATTATAGCATTGTGATATATGTTAATGGTCTGATGATTCCTTTTATGAAACTATATCTAAGATATCTACTTGTAAACTCAAAGTCACTCTCTGTTCTACTTACATGTTTATGATTTGTTTTAAACATCACATTGTATCCTGTATCATTGTATCTCTCTAAGTCTTTCAGTAACCTTTGGTGAAAAGTTTAAAAATTGTGACCCGACCTGAACTGTAGTAAATGCCAGTACACACTTGCAGTTGCTTACAGCTTTTCCACCATTCTAGGTACTGTTATACAAATATGAAACTATTTAATATCCAAACTGTTATTTTTATAGATTGGCCGTTTGGAAGGCTGTTCCAGAGTGGTGGGAATTTGTGGAACAGACGAGAAGTGCTCCATCTTGGTCTCAGAACTGGGCTTTGATGCTGCAATTAATTATAAGAAAGGGAATGTGGCAGAAGAACTCCGCAAGGTGTGCCCATCTGGAGTGGACGTTTACTTTGACAATGTTGGTGGTGACATCAGCGATACTGTTATACGCCAGGTGATTGATCACTTCCTGCTATAAATTTGAATGATTCTTATTTCTGTTATTTTACACACACACACACACACACACACACACACACACACACACTTTGTTGCTCACCATCCAAAACCAGTTCCACCAAGTTCTATGCTTGCTCTGATAGAGCAGTCTGATGGTTTATTACTGCCTTCTTCAAGGCAGTCATGCTCAGCATCTCGTTTGTGTCTCTTGCAGAGCTACGATAAGAACAGTTAGTCAGCAAGCTCTGACTAACTACCTACTGAGTGTCTGCCACTATGGATGCAAAGAAAAAAGCAAAACAGATGTTGCCCTCCCAAGAGAGGAGACATTACATACACTTACAAATATATAAAAAGTAAATAGAAGATACTTTTGGGAGACGGAAGTGCATTAGTAGCTCCTGAAATCAAGATAGTGAATCTTGTACTTGAGCTGAGTTTTGAAGGAAAATGGGAATTCCAAGAGATGGTGGTGAGAAGAGACTGCATTTTAGGCATTTGGGGGCAGCCAGTGCAAAGACAGGTAGGTGGCACAGTGGCTCCAGGCCTGACACGAGGAAGAGTCTTCATCTCTCCCGAGTTCAAATTGGGCCTCAGACACTTATTAGCTATGTGACCCTGGACAAGTCACTCTGTTTGCCTCAACTATAAAATGTAAAATTAAAAAGTTCCTCATCTGTAAAGTGAGCTAGAGAAGGAAATGGCAAACCACTCCAGTATCTTTACCCAGAAAACCCCAAATGCGGTCACAAAGAGTTGGACAAGAATGAAAACAGCTGAACAGCAACAATACAAAGTCATGGAGAGGGGAAATGGAGCATTGCGTGTGAGGCAGCACTAGTGGGCCAGTGTGCCTGGACCACTGAGTGTGTAGAGGAGAGTTACCTGGAAGAACACCGGAAAGGCAGGAAGGGGCCAGTGTGTGAAGATCATGAAGTGAAAAACAGAGCAGTTTTATTTGATCTTGGAGGTGAGAGGGAGCCACTGAAGTGTATTGAGTTTAGGTGTGATGTTGTCAGAGAGGTACTTCAGGAAAATCACTTTGGCAGCTTTGTGGAGGTTGGAGTGGAGGGGAGAGACACTTGAGGAAGGGAGGCTGCTACAATACTCCAGGCAACAGGTGTTACTGGCCTGAACTAGGGTGGTGGCAGTGTGAAAGAAAGAAATTTCAAAAGAGTAGAAATGACGAGATCTGCAACTCACTGGACATATGGGATGAGTGAAAGGGAGGAGAGTGTAATTAGAGCAAGGCTAAAGGCCTGGGATAGTCCTGGGGATTGCAGGAATTTGGAGGTCATGATGAACATGGAGAATAGGTTTAAGAAGAGTAAAGCATTGTCACACTCTGAAAATAAATGACCAAAGAGCCAGAGAGATTATGCACCAACTCTTAAACTCCGGAAATATGAAAGAGCTCACAGAGATTATACACCAACTGTTAACTGTAACCAAAGAGCCACAGAGGTTATAGGAAATGATGTATACCAGCTATCCAATCTGAGAAGCAAAAGAAGATGAAAGCAAATAGCTCCCCGAGTTTATAGACAAAGAGCCTTCTTTATTCCACTAGAGGAGGAAAACCAGACACGTGTGCCAGGGTCCCCTCTAAGACCAAAGCAGCAAGGCTCAGCCCTTTTACACATGGTTGTGCCCAGACAGAGAACAAAGCACTGAGGTGTGAGCATAGGAGTAAAGCGCAATAGTGACAAAGAAGTGAGTTTGCCTAGTGACCAAAGATCTATTCTTGGCAGGGCTTCATGACCAGAACATGGTTGCTTTAGATGCTTCTCTGAGCTCAGGAACCACCTGGAGCTGGTTTAAGCCAGTTCTGTGATTTAGCTGCAGCTGAGTTCATCCAGAGGGTGAGTGCAAAGGATTATTGTTATGCCAAGCTCAGGACTTGGCTCTGGAAATTTAAGCCAGTTCTGTGATTTAGCTGCAGCTGAGTTCATCCAGAGGGTGAGTGCAAAGGATTATTGTTATGCCAAGCTCAGGACTTGGCTCTGGAAAACAAAGAGAGCAGCAAAATGAGCAGTCTAAGGGTGAGGGTCTTGACAGCACAAAGACAGATGGAACTATAAGAGATTAGAATGAAATAGAGAAATATCAGTTACTCATCATGGAAGTGGAATATTTGTGGGTAATGTTGAGATGAAGGGCATCTCTCTCAGCTTTGTATAGCTGAGGTGGAGTGAAGAAATGGCTCATGGGAGTTAAATAGATTAAAGGAATGGGAGGTTAGGGTATTTATGGAAATATCATGATATTCATGTTGAATTCCTTAATATAAAGCATGAACTTGGATGGAAAAGGAGCCAAGGCACTGAATGCATTGAGACAAGAGGAGGAATGTCCTAGGGCTTGGTAGACAATAGACACCTCAATCTGAGTGATAAATATGGATAGTGACTCTTAAATGAGGACAGTTTGCTGAGTGATGGCAGAGGGAGAGTCTGAAAGCATTAAAGAGGACCAAGAAGTATTCAACCTCTCCTCCTGGGACCAGTGAGTTGGGGAGTTTGAGAGAAGGTGCAACCCATCCTAGAACGAATGCAAGTGATGAAGTGTCATTGAGTATCAGGTCTCAATGAGTGCCAGAAGATGGAGGTAGCATGAGAGAAACAGACCTAAGAATCAGAGAACTTTGTTAATTATATAGAACAAGAATTCGCGAGGACGGAATAGAAGGGTGAAAAGATATGGAGTTAGATGTTTTCTAGATAGTGTTGAACATTTAGCTTTTTGCTAATCAACAGGCATTTACTGTGCACCTACTGTGTTCCAGGCATCATGCAGAATGGGGGATATAGTGCCAAAAGTGCAACAGTCCTTGCCCTCAAGCAAGGCATTCTGTCAAATGAGATAATCTAATCCTTTTCTCATTAATTCTTCCAAGTAAATGAATTAATGTTATTTCTTCATAAGTAGTAAGCTTTTGATGTCTTTCATGCTTGTCATAAAGAATATGGAAAATATATTAGGAAGAAAAAATAATTACATGTAATCATGCCATTAGGAAAGAAAGGCATACATGAGCTAGGTGCAATCAAATGATGGCTGATCTTGGGGTGCGCTCAAGGTTTCTCAGAAAGAAACAGAATTGTCTTTGCTAGAATCAAAGGACTCTTCCTGTCTCACCATCATCCAGTTTCTACTTACTACTCCCAACATGTCCAGTTGGGAAGCTAAGAGAGTAAACTGAAATGACTACAAGTGGATGAACATTTTATGTTTTATAGAGTTTTAGTATTTCACTGTCAGTTGTTACATATCACTTTACTAGATAGTTTAGCCTAATTTGAAGTGAAGTGAAATTTTGAAAATGAGCTTCTGTTTCCTTAAAATTACAGAATTTTAATATTACATTTTTTTCCTGATTAGGAAGTTTCACTTTCCCTCTATATATCCATTTGCTTACCATTTGATGTTCATAAATACATGCCATAGATAAGAGTCCACTCTCTCCCCAAAAATCTCTAAGTTATATTGTGTTTTGGGTTTTTTAGGCAATTGTGGTTAAGTGACGCCCAGGGTGATACAGCTAGTAAGTGTGAAGTGTTTGGTCTGAGGCCGGATTTGAACCCAGGTCCTCCTGACTTCAGGGCAGGTGCTCTATCCACTGTGCCACCTAGCTGCCCCTCTAAGTTACTATTAATGGAATAGTCAGGGTATTTCTTTTCTTGTACCTTCCAAGGACACTTTCATTGACACTTATTATTATTTTAATAAGTCTTTTTTTAATTTTAAAAACATTTTTATTTAAAGTTTTGAGTTCCAAATTCTTTCTTCCTCCCTCCCTCCTCCTCTCCCTCCTCCCCCATCCCTGAGATGGCAAGCAGATATAGTTTATAGATGTGCAATCATGTAAAATATTTCCATATTAGTTATTTGTACAAGAAGAGTCAAATAAAAGGAAAAAATGAAAGAAAGAGAGAAATAGCATGCTTCAGTCTGTATTCAAACAATATCAGTTCTTTCTCTGGAGGCAGATCTTCATGCTTTATCATTAGTCCTTTGGGATTGTCTTGGATCATTGAATTGCTGAGAATAGCTAACTCATTCACAGTTCTTCATCGAACAGTATTGTTACTGTGTACAATGTTCTCCTGGTTTTGTTCACTGTACTTTCCATCACTTTGTGTAAGTCTTTCCAAGTTTGTCTGAAATCATCCTGCTTATCATTTCTTGTAGCACAATAATATCACATTACAATCATATATCATAGCTTGTTTAGCCATTTCCCAATTGATATTGACACTTATTCCATGAAAACATTCATTCTTTTCATAAAGCAGCTTCATATTTAGTAACTACAGAGAAACATCTATTTCTTGGGGGAGATATTAATCATTTTTCTCTGAACAGATGAATCAGAACAGCCATGTCATCCTGTGTGGCCAGATCTCTCAGTACAATAATGATATGGCTCATCTTCCCCCATTGCTTCCTGAAATAGAGTCAATTCTGAAAACAAAAAACATCACAAGGTATTCTTTCTTTTCTTCATTTACTACCATATTAAAATCATATATGCAATATGCTGTATGTATATATGTAAATATATACACACAGAGATATGCTTTTTTGCCCAGAGCTGTTCCCCCATCCCAATCCAATCCAATAAAGGTTTTATGAAGTGCCTAATATGTGCCAGCCATTTTGCTAAGGGCTAGGAATACAATTAATAAAGACAATTCTTGCCTTCAAGGAGCTTATGATCTAATGGGGGAAGACAATATACAAAAAGAGCAGGAAAGGTGTGAGGGGAAGTGCATTGGGGAATACTGGGGAGCATCGTGTTCCCTGGAGTTGAGACTAGGCAGAGAAGCAGATGCAATGTGGACAAAGGAGCTGAGAGCCTACCTTCTGCCCTTTGTAAAGGAAGGCATTGGGAAGGCTGTGGTACTTCACCTGCCAACCCTCCAATCAAAGAGGAGAGGAGAGGAGAATGAGGGTGGTCAGGGCAGTCAGGGCTTGATTTAGCATCATGGTGATGAGATTAGATGTAATGAGGTTATCCTGGGAGGGGCATCTTGTTCCTTGGAGTAGAAACCCAGCAGAGTAGTGCTATGCATTTAAAAACCACTTGAAGCCAGGTAAACAGGTTGTGTTAACACATGATTTTTTTGACATTGACTTCCTGTTATCTTTTATTTTCATAACATTTGTCTAAACCACATCTGACTGAACTCAACATGATTAAGCCATGATATTTGTTCCATGAAAAGATTTCAGAGGCTTGTGAAAGTATCTGATCTTGCTTTTCTCCTGTTTTAGATGGCTCTCTTTTATTTTGCATTAGGGAAAGATTTATGGTGTTTCAATACAAGGACAAATTTGAGCCTGGAATTCTACAACTGAGTCAGTGGTTTAAAGAAGGAAAGTTAAAGGTAGGACTTGATGCTATGTCCTTATTAATTTATTCCTTTTATCTTATTCCCCTCAAATGTAATGAGCCTGAATTTCTGTATAGTTTGAAAAATCAGATTGTTATCCTGGGTATAGTTAGTTCAAATTAAATAGCTGGGAAAAGTGTCCAGTTGCTCACTATAGTTAATTTAAATAAAAATCATATTGATATGAAGATTATATTGCTTTGTTTCTGGGGGGATTCTAGTACTGAGATAAGATTTGAATAAAAATTTCTAGCTCATGGATTCTCAAAGGGAAATCCATGAATCTCAAGGTACCACCAAAACCCTTTTAGAGGGTCCTTGAAGCCAAAATTATTTTCCTAAGAATACTAAAAAATTATTTAACTATTAAAATACTCCTCCATTTCCCAACTATCTATCCATTTGAGGCTGAATTATCTTCATATGCTTTAACCAAATCAATGTATCACAACAGACTGAATGTAAAAGCATATAGGAGAAACAACCTGTTTTCTGCTAAAATACACATTAAAGAGATTTGCAAAAATATGGAAAGCAATGCTATGTTACTGTAAATGTTTTTTTGGGATAACAGTTATTTTTCATGAAAAGTTCATATAAATATATAACAGACTTATCGTTATTTTAGAATGAATAAACATTTTTAAATATCCATTTCATTTCTAACTGGAAAACACTAATAACCTCAGGCCATGGGAATGAAAGCTATTTGGGGTCCTCAGCAATTTTTAAGGGTGCAAAGGGACCCTGAGACCAAAAAGTTTGTGAACCAGTAGTTTAGACCAGTGATATCAAACTCAAATAGAAGCTAATCTCTGCAGGCTACATCTTTGCTTAGGCAACCAGAAATTAACATATCCATGTTGTGTCCTATTTTTATTTACTTTTGTTAAGTATTTCCCAATTACATTTTAATCTGGTCCAGAGGATGTCAACAACTCTGATGTAGAGTATTGCTATTTAATTGTAGACTATCTTGCTGGTTAGAAGCCGTTGGACTTCCCTTCTATGTTGTCTACCCCCATTAGACTGAGCTTCTTGAGAGCAGGAGCTAACTGTCTTTTGCGTTTCTGTATCCCCAGCATTTAGCGCAATATCTGTTACACAGTAGGCATTCAATAAATGCGGATTAACTTCTTTTAACTTATCCCTCATTATTTCTTCTTTTCCCTCAATCTCTGAATAAGAGGCAGATCCTTCCAAGCCCTCTATTTGTGCACTTCCTTTCATCCTCTCCCATGTTCTCTGGAACACTGCTCTTCACGAGGCTGTTACCTTTGGGGACGGGTTGAAGATTGTTGACTTGGATGATTAACTTATTCCATCCACAAACATTTATTAACTTACTACTATGTGCTAGGCACTGGGGATACAAAGAGAAAACGAAACAGTCCGTGCCCTCCAGAAGCACATTCTGTCTGTTGAGGCAATAGATACAAAATAGAACATTATGCAAATGTGTGCAAAAGAAACACAAAGGTAATTTGGCAGAGGAGGCATCAGCACGTTGGAGGATCGGGAAGGGCGTCATGTAGGGGGTGGCACTTGACCTAAGATCGGAAGGAAATGAAGGATTCTAAGAGGCAGAGTTGAGGAGAGATATTACCTGTGCAGAGACAGGAAGGAATGTTGTGTGTTCTGCAACTCATAGTCTTTGTTGCTGCAGGAGACTAAAAGGTTAAGTGACTTGCCGGTATCACACAGTCAGCAGCAGGACTGGAATCCAGGCTGTGTCTCTGGCTGACTTATCTACTGTACCTGTTATTATTACTGTTTTTATTGTTATTGATAATAAACTCAAAGAAAATGAAATATGAGAAATATACCGTCTTTTATCACTTCAAAGTACTTGGGTTCCTTCACAGCTTATTTATGGCTGTTTTTTTTTTTGTCAAGGTTCCTTCCATACTTCCATGTTAACACAAAGTGTTGAATACTCATTATTGGCTTTTTTTTCTTCAGCACAACAATTTTCCTTTTTTTTTTTAAATGTCAGCTTTAATTTGATAGAGAACTAAGAGTAAAATAAAATTAACCTGACCCTGCATATAGGCCATAAACAGATCTGTCCATGTGAGAGACGGTACAAATCTAATCCTGGCTCATCATACATTCTCAGTTGTTGCTTCAAGAATGTATTGCATGCTTGTTCAGTGAATAAAGCACTGTGCTTGCTAGACACTGAAGAGAATGCAAAAGAATTAAAGGACAAAGTTCTTGCCCCAAGGGCTTGCAATCTAGTTAGGGAGGTATGACATTCAGTGGAGGGCCTACCCCAAAGGCAACTCCTATCCATCAGAAGTTCTAAGCCTCAGTGTCACTTCCAGGGACTCAAATACAATGAGCTGAATACCCGTAAGATAACTTCTTGGTGACATCATTTGCCACTATGTTTGGATAAGTTCTGGAGCTGGTAAAAAGTTGAGTTCATTCTGGTACAGTAGACCAGAAGACTAGGTATTTACTTGCCCTAGCATTCAGATAGAGCTCACTGCCACCTCTTGCCTACATTTCCAGCTTCCCAGCATGAAGAATGATAACCTATGGAAACTGCTTCTGCACCAGAATTCTCAGTTATATTGGGACTAGAAAAAAATGGAACCCAGTCAACTGCTTCTTCCCATATCTTGTGCGCTAACAGATTCCCACCTCCTGCTCCCTGTGTCCCTGTAATTGAGGTTGCCATCTACTGAGGTGAAAACCCCCTCTTCTAACAGTCTTTACTCTCTCATCCCTATCTACTTTAGTTCTTTCCATCCACAGACTGTTTTCTTGTCCTTCCATTCCATTATGCTTTGTGGAGCCCCATCTTCATGGTGAATCCCATCTCTAGATCCCTTCCTTTTGCATCCTTTCCACATTCTTACAGTCATGGAAACCTGGCTCCCTCTCATACATACTACACCCCTGGCCGTCTTCTCTGGAATGCCTTCCAAATGGACTAGAAAGAGAAGTTGACATACTCCTTGATCCTCATTGCTATGTCTATACTGTCCCCCTTTACCCCATTACTCAGCAACTCATTCTCCTTTGAAGTCCACTTCCTTCATCTCCATTGCCCCATACAAATCCTAGTCAGCTATGTCCTGGCTTCCAGGTGATTCTCCTTTCTTTCTCAAGGAATTCAATACCTGTCTCATAGTCTTTGCCACCCCTGATTTACCCACATATTCAGGGACTTGAGCATACGTGATGATGTCCCTGGAACTCCCAATTCACCAACTTCTTCAACGGCCACTTCTTCCTTCCACCCACAAGAATAGTCACATCTTAGAATTCACAAACTTCACTATTATGCTAGTTACTTCCTTGATCTTGAATGCTGCAATTCTGTCTGATGATGACCTTCTCTGTCCTTCCATCTCTTCCTTTGTCTCACTTCTCCTAAACTTATTCTTTGTCCTCAGCAGAACTTCCCTACCCTTTCCTGTTTTTCCAGTCTATTATCCCTATACTCACCTCACTTTCCTCCCTTTAGTTTTGAACCTGTAATTGACTCTCTATTTATGTATATTTTTGTAGCTCTGATCTTGTCCCGATGTCACTTATGCTTTGCCACATCTGAACTCTGGATTATCTCCCACCATTTGCCTATTTATACTTCTTTTGAATACCAAAGACTGCAGATGGAGGAAGTCACACAACCATACTGATCAGGTCCACCAAAATTTATACTGCCTTACCTCCGATGAGTCTTTACTTCCACATGGACATCTTTTAATTATTTCCTGCATGAATCTTTATTCTGCTACCTGAAGTGGCTGTTCCAAATTTTCTCTTCTGTTGTCAGGCCTTCTAAACTTCTTCTACTTCTTTTTCTTCTTTTACTCTTCCCTCTTAGAAGAGGATCTCAATTTTTACTTTACTGACAAAATAAAGGCTATATGCCATGAGCCCTTTTTTCTTTCCTACATCCTATCCCCGAACCCCTGTACACCATACGCCTAGTCTCTCTTTTCCTCTGATGTATGGGATAGAGGTAGCTCTTTGCCAAGGCCAGTTCCTCTACGTGTGCAGTTGATACCTTTCTTCCCTATCAGTTCTGGAATCTCGATTAGTCTTGCCCTGTTTACTAGCTCTTTCCCCATTGCTTACAAACAAGCCTCAGTCTACACATTTTTACAAAAAATCTTTCCCTAGGGGCAGCTAGGTGGTGCAGTGGATAGAGCACTGGCCCTGAAGTCAGGAGGACCTGAGTTCATATCCGGCCTCAGACCAAACACTTGACACTTACTAGCTGTGGGATCCTGGGCAAGTCACTTAACCTTAATTGCCTTTAAAAAAAACAGTCTTCCCTGGACCCTTCCATTTCTTTACTGTCCTCTATCTCTTCTCCTTTGAATATCTAAATTCCTAGAGATGATTACTTACACTTGCTACCTATACTTCTTTACCTAGCATTTTTCAGCTCCATTTATTGATAATTCCTTATTTGCCTTTAACATAAAATACAGATTCCTCAGGCTGGCATCTCAATCCCTCTATAATTTCATTCTCACCTATCTTTCTCAATTTAGTTCATATTTGTATTCAGGCCCTATACATTCCATCAGGAGCTGGGTAACCTATTTTATCAATAGTCCTGTGGAATCATAGTTTATCATTATTACCTCATCATAGTTTCTAAGTCTTTATCATATTAATGTAATTATATAAAATATGGTATTTATTCTCACTTCACTCTATATCACTTTATACAAGTCTGCCTAGGTTTCTCTGAAACTATCCCCTTCATTGTTTCCTATAGCACAGTGGTAGGAGATCGCCATTTATATACCATAACTTATTCAGCAATTCTCCCAATTGATAGACATCTCCTCAGATTCCAATTCTTTGCCCCTGCAAAAAAACTGTAAATATGTTTACATAACTTTATAATTTGTTTTTCTTAGTACTAATTGCTTTCTTAATCTACCTTCCCTTGTTTTCTTCTTCTTCCCTTTCCTTCTTCTTTGAAGTTCAGTTTTCCTCCTGTAACATTATAATTAGTTTTGCCAGGTAAATTATTCTTGCTTGTAAGCCCATATCATTTGACTTCTGGAATATCACATTTCAAGCTCTCTACCCCTTTCCTATGAGATAATTTACATTTTCTTCTTTGTTTCAGTCTTTTGACTTTGTTTCAATATTTCTTACTGATTCATGGAGTTATTAGCATCTATTTGATCCACTCTCATTTTCTGGGAATTTGTTGCATGGGCAATAAATTTTATACCTATTTTGCTAAGACTGCCCTTTGTCTTCCCAATTTTATCTTTAATTGCTTTATTTCTTTTCCAATTGTTTTCCTCTAGTGCTCTCATTTATAAAAAAATATGTTATCGTTTTTTTAAAGGCTGTAGATTAGGGTTTTTTTTTTCAGGAATTCTAATTGAATGTGTGCCCAAATTGTGTTTTCCTTAGACCTCTGCTTATAGACATTTTGGAATCATTCTTTTCTTCTAGACTGATGTCTTGAGCATCCCTGTTGTCATAATAGCTTTTTGGGGTGGGATTCTTTCTTTCTTTGCTCCTTCTTCCAGCCTGCTTCCTGACTTTAGAAGTGATGTTAGGCCTAAGCTTTGTCTACATCTGTAGGAAAAGTCTGGGCCAGTCCTGTTGCTACTTTCTTGGGGTTCTTGAGGACTGAGGTATTCTAGAATCTCAGGGACGGCTCAGGTTGGGGACCTGCAAGTTTTCAGTGTTCCCTGGGTGGTCATCACAATCCAGGGCAAAGTCTGATCACTGCCTCCCTGGTCTAAGCTCTGCATGTTCCTGACCTGGATGTGGGCCTGAGCAACATACATGTAGAGTTTCAGCAGAATACCCCTAGACCCTCGGTACTAGAACGTTCCAGGTAGTGCGCTTTTCACCAGATCCCCACCATCTATAGATCTCTGTCTGACCTGGGCCCGAAGAATGACTCACTTTACTTTTTTTCTTCCCTTCAATTTCCCAATCAGGATTCATTCTGGTACATTTTCTTTTTCTTTTGTTTTTAAAAAATTTTGCTTTTAGTTCCCAATTTTCTTCCTGCTCCCTCTGCCCGTTGAGGAAGAAAGAAATACAATGCAGTACAAACATGTATAGTGAAGCCTGGTGCATTTTCTATCTGTCTTTGGGGAGTTGGAGGAGGGTTCTTGGGGAGCTCACTGTACTTCCTGCTACTCCACCATCTTGACTCCCCCTCTGGTAATGACCTTGCTGTACTGATAGCCCTGATATTTGGTATGGATTGGTGACTGTGCTGGAAGTGTTCGTGTCTGCGCTTTGGCCCTCATGTTTCTATCACCCACTTTGAGACTTGGTCCTTCTGAAGTAGAGAGGCAAAGGCTGGGATTTCTGTTCTTTTTTTCTCCTCCATATTTTGTCACCTTGCTGTACTGCATTCCTTCAGGTGGCAGTGGAAATGGAGAGGAAGAAGTGAATACCAGAAACATTTCAAAGAAAACTTTTTTCATGGCAGGATTTCTTTTTTAAAAAATTTATTTTGTCTTAATATCAGATCATGTCTGAATATACCCTTTACCACTCTCCTACCCAGTGAGCCATGCCTTGTAAGAAAGAATAATGGGGAGAAAACAGAAAATCAGTTCCATATAACCACTCAAGACCCAGTGAATCTGATGGTGTATACAGTATTCCACTCCCATAGTGTCTCTATCTGTATAATTATAGGGGGCAGGTACATCAAAGAAGGTATTGCAGATAGAAAAAATTTCTTAATGAACATCTAGCCCAATAGTTTACTTTCAGTAACGTATAGGAGGGAAAGGATGTCAGAAGTTAGAAGGAGCCTGTTAATAATAAATCAGTTAATTTCTTAGCCATTTGGGAAAATGGCTGATTAAAATGTGTGCACACTCCTACTTTTAAAAATTTACTTAATGTAAGAATTCTAAATTATACAATAGAAAACAAATCTATAATTATTCTTACTAAAAGTTATCCTTTACAAAGGTTATAGGGCAGCTAAGTAGCACAATGGATAGAGTACTGGGCCTGGAGTCAGGGAGATTCATCTTCATGAGTTCAAATTTGTCCTCTGACACTTACTAGGTGTGTGATCCTGGGCAAGTCACTTAACTTTGTTTGCCTCAGCTTCCTTGTCTATGAAATGAACTGGAGAAAGAAATGGTAATCACTTCTGTATCTTTGCAAGAAAACTCCAAATGGGGTTATATAGAGTCAGACACTACTGAAAGTGACTGAACAACAACAAAGATTACGTTTTGTTTGCAGCTGCTTTGATGTGGTAGAAAATGTTTTCCATTCTGTTTGTTTATTTGGCAGAGATGCTTAGGGGTAGAGTATGAGAGGGGGAAAGGAAAAAACCATATCAGTTGGTGGGGAAAAACAAATTTCATTCATAAAAATATGATTTCTCTGCTTTTATAGATCATATGTTGCATATTGGAAGTATATCTTTCTTAAAAGGGGAAGGTGCTGAATAGTTTGCCCTTGAAAAGTAAGAAAGAAAATTAATTCCATTTATTTTGATTTGTAGATTAGAGAGACAGTGATCAATGGCTTGGAAAACATGGGAGGTAAGATGATCAGAAATTCTGTAATAATTCAAGTGTAAGTTCTTGCTCTGAAACAGTACTTTTACAGGCATTCCTTTCTTTCTCTCCTTTTCTCCATCATGGCTTTTTTTTTATTTCTGGGAAATGTTACATTAATTTGAATGGAATATGAACTTATCCAACCTCTACCAAAGATTCAACTTAATGATATTTAAGAGGAACATCTTTTTTTAGTGTATCTCATTTTATGAGGCTCTTTCTTGAGCTCCTCAAACAGTATGCGCATTTTTACAGAATGAATGGGGAGTACTTTTCACAGTTTATATATTACACAGATTGGGGAAAAGTTTTAATATTTAGTTCTCATGTAAATAGATTTGTTTTTGTCCTACAGGAAAATAGAAGGGGAAGAGGAGAGAAGGGGGGGAGAGATAGAAGAGAGGGCAGGCTAGGGAAGGGGTATTCAGAATGCATGCCATCTTGGGGTGGGGGGAGGGGAGATGGGGTGAAAATTAGGAACTCAAAATCTTGTGGAAGTAAATGTTGAAAACTAAAAATAGATAAATTTCTATTAAAAAAAAAGAAAATAGATTTTTTTTGTCCCCATATGCATAGCTTTCAAAATTCTCTTCGGCTCTTCTTTGGTGAATATGTCCACATGTACTTAGCCATTAAAATTTTATTTTAGAGTTATGTTACATAAAACCTTTTTATTTTCTGAAATCTTTTATTTTCCATAAAAAATTGAATATTTGCCTTAGGAGAAATCCATATTGTGAACATTGTAACTACTCTTCTGAATACCACATTTACACAAAACCCTAAGTTTGTTAACAGATGTTAGTTTTATTTACTCATCTTCTATAACCATTATGTCTTATTTTCCTTATAAGAGATTCTTTCAAACTTTTTTCACTTACTTTCTCTCCTGAGCTTAATAGTAAATGAGTATAGTTAGTAACTGATGGACATTTTCAGTTCAGGTACTAATGTTTAAGTTGTTTTACCATGATTTGGACTAATCTGTGTGCTTCAAAACTGATATAATCATTTAGGACTTTATTCAGAATTGTAAACCTGCATTTTGATATATGGATATATAATGTTATTTTGAGCTATGATAACAATTAATTATAAAACTGGTGATATTATGTAACGGACACCAATTCTTCAAGATAATTTATTTTTTCTTTTTCAGTTGCCTTCCAATCTATGATGACAGGAGGCAATATTGGGAAACAAATCGTTCGTATTTCTGAATAAAAATCTCTGTCCTTTCATTGGATTACACATGAACAAGAACATCAAGCAGATTTCTTTTCAATTTTAACAAGAGAGATTTTAAAGTCTGTTAATAGATTTATTAGATTAATTAAACTAACTTTTATTTTGTCTCATTTTATTTCATATTTGCAGCATTGGTGATAGCTTTAATGATAATTATTTCTTCCAACTTCATATACCCTATGTATGACTAATTATAGTATAACAAAAGGTCAGCATGACCCATTTTTCATTTTCTTCCAAGAGCTAGCATTATGTATGATGTTTGTATTTGATATTTTGAATCCACAGAAGATTTTAGTACTATTTTTAATATTCTGAATAAAACAACAATTGAGAAATTACTTTGTACTAGAACCTTTTCAATATCCATCTCAGGTAATTTTTTATTCATTTCTAATCATTGACTTTTGCATCTAGTGGGAATAGAGTGCTTGCTACTTTATAACATTATCATTAAGACTTCCTGTAAAAGTTAAGCTTGACAATATTCAGATTGTTCAGTTGTGTTTTGTCTTCAAGAAGATGAACAAACTCAAGTCTTTAAATACTTTAAGAACTATGTAAAGGTCTGATTGGAACATAAATAAAGACACTTTCCTTTTGAGCCTGATTATATTTTGTAACAATTGCATCTCACTACATATACTTTACCCAGGCCATTAAGAAATTATGGGAGCCACATTTTACCTATATTATCATTACAAAAAAAAAGTCTGACAATGCAGGTAGCCTTTTAATTTGTGGAAAATGATAAACTGCATTGAAACATAAGATGAAATGAAGGGGAAAATGATATTTGAATTAATTTTAGACTCAGACCTAGGGCACTTAATTCCTCTGCTATATCTTTTTACCATCATCTTGAACTGTTTGAAATTAAGAAAAGTACAGGAATTATAGGTATTTATTCTTTGGTTACTTTCGGGAACAGGACCCAGAAAGGAAGGCAGAAATATTTATGTTTTCTTTTACCTTACCACTATAATTTGAAAAGAACTAAAAGGGCTTTTGGAAGAGAGACAGAATCTTCACAGGTATTCTGTAAAATGTAGTTAAGTGGTATGCACAAGTCTTAATGTAAAACACAAATCTTTATGTAAAGCGTTTGAAATTTTTAAAAATTGAAAATAGTTCATTAAAATAATTACAGGTGCACAGATGTGGCATTGTTTCTCTGATTCCCTCTAGGCTCTCTCCTCAGGCTGGAGCTGGCTCACTCATCCTATTGGTACCCACTCCAGGTTTGGGGGGTCCCTCCAAAGGGTTGGCCATACTGTTTCTGCTCTTCTTCAGTGTCATAACAATAGCCCTGTTGATGGGGAGGAGATACACTCCTACAACTTGCTTTGCTTCTCATTTATACGAAGTACTCAAAATGACACGTTGACTCTTCACACCAAATATTTAGTAATCAAGAAGGCAAAACCCAAAAAAAATCATAAAGTAACATTTTCAAGAGAAGGAAAATGCATGAATAGTCAAAATATAACAGTATACCTATAAAACTGGGACACATTCTTCCACCAATACATATAATGCCCATGGGGGAAAGTGGGCACACAAAGAAACCTAGCAGTGAAGCACTGGAAGGGAACTCACAACTCTGGACTGCAGACCTTACACAAGTCTGTATTTCACCTGCTATGCAGGCCTACTCCTCTTCTGGGCCTCTCTGCTCCTGCTGGATGAAGCCACTACTCTGCTACTCTTAGGCAACAAAAGCAGCATTAAGCTTTTTTTCTAAACAGGTGCATTACACTCTTTCAGTGAAATGGCAGCCCTAAGTCTACAGTCTTCAGCTTTCCAGATTTGCTCCCTTATGCTGCTCTCTGGGCTCTGTGGTGAAGAGCAATTCAGACAAAGCCAGCCAGCTCTTCATACGGCAGGATTCTGCCTTCTCCAGTCAGATCCCAGCAGTATCTTCAGATGCTGTTTGTCTAATGTCAGCCAGAAGCTACTGTTTTTGTTTTCTCATTCTCCTCTGCTGCTCTCATGCATCAGTAGGCAGTCTCTGCCCTGTTTCTGTTTCTGTTTCTATTATCAGCTTATCTCTTCATGAGGATATTCTCATTCTTATTTCTCTCCCTCCTCCCTTCCCCAACTTATGCCTCCCAAATCAAGATTCCCTGGGGAGTAGTGACTCATCTCTAATTTGGGTTGAGAAACCCAAGATCCACATTGCTGTCAAGTATTCTGCAAGCAATTATTACAGAATAATTCTGAAATAATTTAATGAATTATATGGTGAATATTTAATAAACTCCTATCCTAAGCATATCATTTTAAAATTTAGTGGGAGTTTCTTAAAATAGCACACTTATTCAAACAGCTTACTCGTGAATCAGAGGTACTGAACAATATAACTCTTTTTTTTTTCAGCCAAAGATAAGGTTTATTAGAACATCTGCCATATTGGCCAGACTCTTAAGGAATCTGAGCAGCAGCTAGATTTTAAGCATCTGAGCATTTTGATGGAGACTAGGTGACCTTATATCTAGAAAGACTGTGGAAGTCTTTCAAGTAGTTTTCAGGGATTGTGAAGTAATAGAATGCCATGGACTTGGACCACGTGGCCAAGGGAGAATGGAGCCTAGCTAGGATTAAGGGTGGGAAGTGGCCTGGGACCATAAGGAAAGAAAACAATGGAGGGGTTGGCTAGGTTAAGGGTAGAAGAGAATTGGGAAATTGGGTGTAGCCACAATAAAAGTCCAGTTCATGGGATTATAGCCTCAGGCAAATGTCAGATTTTTGGCCATGTGGGAAAGTCCAGGATTTTTCCTTTTTGGGGTCTAGATCCCATCATCATCATTCCCTCCTCAAACAAATAGGACCCAATTCCTTTGGGGTAAGGGGTGAAGATCTTGGCTTCTGAAACTGCTTTCTGCTGGCAAGGGGTCCCTGCCTCGAGGGGGTCCCAAAGAGGAGGTTGACTGGAACCTAGCACAGGCTTCATCCAGGGAATGATGGGGGGACATTGGCTGCTACCTGCTGTTTGCTACCAACTGTAAGTGAATGGCCTGTAGTTTGGAAGACACAAATCTGACAGAAAAGACTGCAGGGCCCAGATATGACAGGATAAAACATCCTTAGCTCTGTTTGGATTCAGATAACTCAGTTTTCTACCAGCAAGTACCAAATCCACCCTGTAGCCAGACTCACGAATAGCCAGGTGGGTAACATTCCTTTTCAAAGGAACATAATGGAGAAACTGAGCCAGAAGGATCCTATCTTAGACTGAGGCTACAGTTGACCTCTCAGCTTTTCCCAATTCTGACTTTCCACCAGTATCACATTCTCTCTGAGTAGCTTTTAGCATTTCTCTGAGATGGTGGATTATTGATTATCGATGTATTATTATAATCCATCAGACAATTCAAAATACCTATGAGATTTTACCTCACATAGCAAGTTTCACTAATCACAACTTAGGAAAAACTTTCCCAGGATTTACACCTCAAAGTTAAAATTTCTCCTGGTGTAAAAAGCCAATCATTAGAGATTATTTCTATATACTTGTAAATTCTCAGCAAGACAAAACCCAAACAAGCTTTTTGGCAAGTCTACACATTAAAGCAATAACCAACAATAAGCCAAATTATTTTAGTGATCACCAAATTATGAAAAGTTGTTTGACGTAACTGAATGGGATGTCCCAGGAAAGACTTCTCAGTGTAATTAAGTTAATGAGTTCAGAAGGTAGTGTGAGAAATGAACTCTCAGAAGTGAAGGCTCCTCAAAGGATCAAATAATTCTTGATTATTACTTTCAAAATCCTCCCCCCCTCAGACAGACCCTGTTTTTAAGCACTTAACAGAAAGAATAAGCCCTGCCTCACTCCCAACCTGAGCCCTTTGCCCTTGGCTTCCAGCCTCTTTCCTTGTCTTTGAATTTCCAGCCTGGAATATAAGCCCCACCTCCTGCTTAAGTTGATAGGAAGAGTCTTTCAAGGCTTGGAATGTAAGCCCCACCTCCCAGTTAGAATGTAAACCCATCCCCAGTTAAGGGGTAAGGGACAGTGTTGGGTGGAAAGTTGTTTGTGTGGTGGGCTGAGATCTGCTTCCATAAGGTGGCCCCTGTTACTGGGTCTCTCTCTCTCCACGTGTATCAGAGAAGCAGACAGCCATCTCTCGAGATTGTAATAAATGTAACCTTTGCTTTCCACCTTGAGAAGTCTCTGAGTTTAATCTGGGTTAGGGTCGCTGTCCCACACATAACTGATACAAAAAGTTCACCAATTTCAAACTTGAAACAAACCAATGAGGTGACTTCAGTTTTGTTCAATGCATTTCCAAAATAGTTTACAGGCAGAATCAACATCTCATCATTCACAGTTAAAACTACAACTTTAAAAGTGTGCTTACCCAAGTTTGGAGGCTAGCTTCTTTACCTTGAGCAGGTTATGCTGAACCTGGGTGATGCTTCCAGCCAAAGGTTGCCCCAGGGCCCAAGGCTGTTTCCAGTGGAACCCCTGCAGTAGAGGGTGAATGGGGGGGCTGAAACTCTCTTTTCTTATGAGAGGGACTAACAGATACTCTCTTGTCAAGGGAAGGGAGTGACCAGGGTTGTAAGGAGGTGTTTCAAAACTCCTTAATGATCGATCACAAAACTTCCAAAATCTGCTAAGATGTTTTTAGCTGTTCTACATTTTCCCTGTAACCTCCACCAGGGAGATTCAGGGGTGGTTAGGGAAGGGAGTAAGTAAGCCTCAGGGAACTGTGTGGGATGCCACTCAAATTAACAATAAAACAAAATACAGAGGTGTCAAAGGAGAAACAGAAAGTTAATTTATTATATGTATAATTGTTATTATTATTTCAAATCTCGAGATTTGGGTGTCCTTGCACCAATTGGTTTTGATGAGAGGAGACAACCCTGAGAGGTAGAAGTTCAATTCCCCCTCCCTCACAGCTGTGCATTAACTTGGCTAAAAATGTGTAGTTAGGAAGATAATTTACGATTGTTTTGGAAGGTCTCAGGGATTGAACAGATCATGCTGGGAACAGAAAGACATCTGAATAAGACCCTGTCAAAGGGAGATAAGGGGACTTGAACATTTAAGGGTTTCTGGGCTTGGGACAAAAGGCACATCTGGATAAGATCAGAAGCAGGCCAGGGCTTAACAACTAGACACATTTTAACTGCTAATATTTGGCACTAAAAAGAGAAGAGCTTACAGCAATCTATTCTTCACCCTATCCTACCTTCTGAACTCACTCCCTTAATTACACTGAGAAGTCTTCACTGGGACATCCCATTCAGAACCAAAAAGCACCTGCAGTTTTCCCAATTCCCTAGCACCAATAGAATTGACGGAATAGGGCATGCGCTTCTAGATAGGGCATCCATCCTTGTCCTCTATGCTTCCAAAGGTGTACCGAGATCCATGGCCTTGAACCAAACCAGTGGACCGAAAGCCTGAGAGCATCAGGCCCGAGTGTGAGACAGGCTCATAAGTGTCTGCCTGAAAAGCACCTGCAAGCCTTCCTAGGTGCTTGGAGAGTAACCCCAACTGCAGAGCAAGAAAGAAGATGGGGGAGACTTACATACCCGCATACCTTACATACCATACTTACACACCAGTGTTGACTGGATAAGAACTTGTGGTTAGAC